GCCCGCAAACGAGTTAAAATTTCCGACGGTTTAACTTTATTATCCCTTGTCAAACAGATGAAGGTACTTATTACTCAGTCATGGCTGTACTGGTGGCAACAGCGTGCTTGCCCGCCAACCATACCGGTTCCTCCACTCCTCACAAGCCAAGCATGTACTCAACACAACATAATGTAGCTAGGAATAGAATTCTAAGAAAAATCGCAAAATTACCGTTTATATTTGATTCACCCTCGTATATCTTTACTGAAAGAGCAAAAGTGATTATGTTATCACCCAGCCTTTAGCCGTTCAGAGTCTAAATTTTATCGTTAACTTACACATATTAAACATAGTATTTTTTTTTCAGGAACACAAGTATGGGTGGGAGAAACCTTATAAGTCTCTGTGGTAGTAATTTTAGCTTATTGTATGTAATAATTGAAATAAATGCATATGGCACAAGATTTTTAATTTAACATAATTGTAATATTTGAATTATGTACCATGTCTTCTGTAATTTAGCTTATGTACTTGTCTCACTGATTAACCTCCATGCTATTATACTTAATAGAACCACAGATAATGAACATGAGTTTACTGACTTTCGGTTTCACAAGGTTTTAGAATAAGGAGGTGAACTGTGTGAAATGTCTTTTTAAGAGAAGTGAATATAGACTTTAATAATAGACCATTTACTTCAATATAAGAAATCCGTCAATACATGCCTTATTCTTATACTGCGAATTGCTATTTAGAATCTTTCCTGCTGTATGGAATCTGTATTTTTATAATTTGTAGAGATTATATGCACGCACATAAATTTATATAGAATCCGTTCTATTAATTGGGCTATGTTAGGAAATTTGACTTGTAGTTATGTATTTTGACTTAGTTTGACATTTTTGTCAGAATCGATCTAAATGAATTGGGTCAGCAAAATTTAAACAAACTTCCATGGAAGATCGTAGCAACAATCTGCAATCGAATATATCTCATTGCTTCACACGAGAACATCCAACAATGGACAACAATCACTTACACAGAATAATACTGGAAGAAGATCCACTTATTGTGAAAACGACCAGATATGAGATCTATACATTGTTTAGCTGCTTTATTAATCAATAGGGGCATTATAAAGAGTTAAGAAAAATAAGTTTGTTAATACCCAAAATTCTACAAGCACTAATGCACTTGTACTTAATACATTAAACTGGATTTTATAAAATAAATACTTCACATATGCGAAAAGCTTTTCATCCACTGTAAACATTCACAGATGATCCTCAAAATTAGTTGATCATCTGTTTCTTCTAACTTTTTGTCGGGTTATACCTTTTCTTAGCGTAAACAATGGAGAACCAAGATTTCCATTGAATGTTTCGATGAGCCTCAACTTTCTTATTCCACAAAACTCCAGGGTAGTTGCGTCTCTGATCTCCAGTCTCGTCAGAAAGGATAATTGATCCAATAAATCCAAAAGCGTTTACTCTGAACTAAAGGTCGGGAATACAAAATGGATTCTGGTTATCCCTTAACATCCTACGGCACACCAGAGGGCTCCGACTATCATCCTGTTCTTGTAGTTCACGAACTATTTGGTAATGGACGAAAGCGTAGGCCATTATGTTAAATCAAAACGACTATTCAACGAAAACGAGATAGAGACACTACCATTTGACAACAAAACGTCATCTACAAATTAGGTGAGCCGCTATCATAATTTCGACCGTTTGACGACTGGTGAAATTTATTGCTAGCAGTCGCCAAAGTATGACGTCACACATATGCTCCACCCTCAGAATTTGGACTTCGCCATGATAATTTCAATGTGGCTTCATTTAGAATCAAGTTCCATACGTCAAAATCCATCTGGCAATTCAACTTAAGGCCGTGAAATAGAAATTTGAAAGTTGATTTTTTTTTTAAATTCTAATACACTCAATGACAGTCGCATCGCTAATCTAACAGCACATCATTTGTCAAAATCCATCAAGCAGTTTGGACTGTAGCCCAAGAAATTTTTTGACCACATACGTATACAGGGTGTTTCAGTTTATTGTTGCATAACTTTAAGATTCGATAGAACTTTTAAAATTAATGCATAAAGTCTATATAAACATGGGTCGCTAAATGCGTGGCTTCCGAATAGTTTTTTTTAAATATTTCGAACAATATTTGATATTTAACAGTGAAAATTGGTATGCAAGAGTCGCTAGAGGGCGCTCTCTACTGTACCTGTAGTGTATTAAAATGACCGAAAAATTTTTCTTAGTGCAATTTTTTGCTTTTTGAACGAAAAAAACCGATTCTTCGTACTTTTCAACATAAAAAAGCTTTCCGGTGAGTTTTCGTTATAGTTAGCCGTTTTTGAGATATTTCGATTTTTAAGGTTCGATGCATTTTTAATTATTTATGGGAAAATGATATTTTTTTACATTTTCGATTTGAGCATTACAAGTAATTAAGATGATCGTTTAGATTGTGTTTTTAAACACAGCAATAATTCCTAACTCCAAATAAACACAAAAAAACAGAATATTAATTTGTTTAATTTTCCAATATTATTTTTAACAAATTAAATTAATTATTTACAACTAAAATGCTATTGGATAGTTAGGACAAACATACAAAATCTGAAGTAGTTGCTCGAAATGTAAACGCAATTGTTGAATACACAATTCACATCTACGAATGATCGAACGTGGTATAGCATTATTCAAATTAGGCTTTATTTTATCACATGCATTCCTGATTCTGTCTATTAGCATATATATGAGCTTATAGTACTGTGTACTCTGCTCATCTCAATTATCATAATAATAATAATAATAATAATAATAATAATAATAATAATAATAATAATAATAATAATATCTCTTGTGGTTACGGGAGTCTGGTACACTTTTTCTTTTAGAAATCCCCACACAAAGAAATCTAATGGATTTAGGTCAGGGGATCGTGGAGGCCAGGCGACTGGTCCTCCACGGCCGATCCATCTTTCTGGATAATTTTCGTCCAGCCAGTTTCTAACTATTCTCAAATAATGAGCTGGACAACCATCAAGCTGGAACCAGGCCAATCTTCTTAAATCTAACATAATATCATCCCACATATTTGCATGTTCAGCCTTTAAAAATTCCAAGAAGGTCGCAGCATTTAACCTTGCAGGCAGGGTCCAAATAGTCGATTAAGGTAGATACCAATCCACACGTTCACACCAAATTCATGCTGAAAATTTCTTTCCCGAACTGCATGCGGATTTTCATGCAACCAAATATGTTGATTATGAAAATTTACCACTCCACGTCTAGTGAAGCATGACTCATCGGTCCATAAAACGTTACTTAAAAACTCCCTATTATTATCATTTCTATCAAGAATCCACTGACAAAATGTGATTCTTCGTTCTCCGTCCCCTGGCACAAGTTGCAAATGGTAAGGACGTCTATGGTCATTTCTAAGAACACGGTGAACATGGCTTGCTGAAATTCCCAAGGCACCAGAAACTCTCCTAACACTTGTGGTCGGATCTCTATCAAACTCACGCAGAATCATACGGGTAAATATACGCTGATGAACATTTATGTTTTGATCCCTTTGGAGATTTACAAAACCATTTTCAATTATTTGGCGATGCACTCTTACAAATACTGAGCGAGTTGGATGTCGTCTGTTTGGAAATCTTCGTGCGTATTCTCTGGCTGCTTCTGCTGCGTTTCCATTTACAAAGCCATACACAAAATGAATATCCGCTAACTCTTGATTGGAGAATAAAAATGGCATTTTTATAAAACTTACAAAAAGAAAAACAGGTAATAGAAAATAAATTTCGTGCATTCACAATTGCAAAAAACGTTTCAGGTTTCAACAGACAACAAAACTAACTGTCAACTAATTGACGTTTAACCTTATTCTGCTTTCAATTTCAAAAATATTTGCAGGCACAGCCTACTTCTAAATATTATCGAGATACTGACTTTTTAACGTTATTTTCCCATAAATAATTAAAATTGCATCGAACCTTAAAAATCCAAATATCTCAAAAACGGCTAACTATAACGAAAACTCACCCGAAAGCTTTTTTATGTTGAAAAGTGCGAAGAATCAGTTTTTTCGTTCAAAAAGCAAAAAATTGCACTAAGAAAAATTTTTCGGTCATTTTGATACACTACAGGTACAGTAGAGAGCGCCCTCTAGCGGCTACAGTAAAACTATGCCCATGGTTCGTTTTGTCGTACCAAAAAACCCTCGTATACCAATTTTCACTGTTATATATCAAATATTGTTCGAAATATTTAAAAAAAAACTATTTTAGAAAGTAAATTTAAACACCCTGTATTTCGGAAGCCACGCATTTTTCGACCCATGTTTATATAGACTTTATGCATTAATTTTAAAAGTTCTATAGAATCTTAAAGTTATGCAACAATAAACTGAAACACCCTATACTCAGGCGCGAAAGACAAAACCCATCCAAAGGTACAATTTTTGCATGACCAAGTCTAAGGTATTCATGGATAAAGTCACTGTATTCCCTAAATAAGGCTGAATCAGACCTGAATCGTCTTTCTAAATTTTCAAATCATTTCAACGCAATTGAAAAAAGATTGCTTTAAAGGTAATTTGACCACAAGGTGGTTGTCAATTTTTTGAATGGAATTTCTAAATATATCTTCACAGGCTTCCTGCTCTGTTGTATATTCCTTGTATATGTCTGGAATCTTTTCAGATTCCCAAAAGTGACAGATCAATGTCTTCATATCTCATTTTACAGTAGACAGGTTACAAGTAAGTAGTATTATTAGAAAGCACTGAACACTCATTATGTATCCAAAACATGTGTTTTGCAATTTGCAAGTCCATTCAGTCTTATCATGCCATTCAAAAGTGTTTCAGAAAATATATTATCTCCAATGAGCATACGGTTAAAAATATGTCGGTTCATGGAAAATACCGCTTTTCATCATGGTAAAATTGTACTTCTTAATTTTTAATAAAGTCATACAAGAACTTACGGTATCTTTATAATAAAAAAGGTTGTTGTAGAAAAGTATAGTTGCTAAGCTGTTGTTATCACAGGATTGCTTTCTTGCATTTTCTATTACAATATTCCTGGGACTCACTATATTAAACATGAACAGGTCAGATTTATTAACTGCTAGAGGCACCGCTAAGGCGACAGCTAACCTAAAAAGAAGTGGACAATAATTTTTACGGTGTTGTGATTGGTCCCATTATTACTTTGAGCACTTTTAAAAAGTGAACCATTAAAAAATTTTAAACGATTTGAACAATATTTTTTCATAATATTGTAAAGTGAAATGAACCTTTGCTGATTCAGTGACTGAACAGGGGTTGTTTTATACTCATAAGTCTTCCCTCCCATTTTGTCCTGTTTATTCATCAATTTTGAAATGTTCTATAATAATTTTCTATATCGGCTTTATTTTAGCAAGACATTACACTGTTTTCAAACCAGGCAAAGCAAACACAAAACATTGCCCACCATGGAACAGTATTTTATGTATGACGTGATCAAAAATAAAGTATCGCTACAGTAAGGCTACGTTAACATTTCCAGTATATTCAAGTCTACGTGTACTTTGAAATAAAGTAGCATGTATCAAGACAAAGCACCTGAAAAATGTTTAAGAATTAGGTCAAAAATGATAAAGATGACTAAGATCTATCAAACATGCCATTAGAAGGTTTGCCCCTGACACCTATTCAATCTTAATATCAATTTACTATAGATGTAAATGAAGAAACTAAAGCTTTATATGAATGAAATGGTAATGGCACAAATCAAAACATTTGATTTTTACAAATTAATCTAATCATATTAGCAAATTTCCCCGAAATAATTGTGAAGTCGGGTATTATTGATGCATGTTGATCAAGGGGCTATTTGAAACATGGACACATAAAATGGGTACACGAATTTTTGTGGGAGAACTTTTTATCCGAGAACAAAGAATGAGAAAACGTGTTTTTGGGATTCTGTTGAAAGTGTTGGCAGGAACGAAAAAACTCTTCGTATAAGATTTTTAGGTATTTATGATACCTTCAAAATCATATCACACGTAAAATGATCTGAGTAATAGTGAAAAAGTTATGGCCGCAAAACCAAGGCAAAATGCAGGGTTTGGCACTTGTTGCTGATGCGACGATAATATCACGCAGATACTCGAAATTCTTCAAATCCGTAGGCTTCACACCTCCGAATATCCACAATAAAGCTGGAGTCGATTGGTCAAGTAGTTTTTGAGAATTTCTAATAGCTTGTCCCAAAACACCTGTTTTCCGGCCATCTCTACTAGTTTACTGAGCAACATACAGAGTTCGTTCAAAGGGCATTTAATAACAAAATACACGAATTTACCTTGCCGACGTGGATCACAAACCAAAGGTAATTGTTATTTTTATGCTAAAAATGAATGGTACGTTTTTTTCTTTTAAAAAAATTCAAATATTTCATATATGTGGGTAACTCTCCAAATTTTAACAAAAAAAATGATAGAAAAGAAAGGAGCTTCGTGGATTCGGTTCTGCAATCATCAACCCCTTCCATTACACTACAACGCCTCTTGGCTCATTGGATCTTATGTACCACTATACTTGACACTGACAAATAAGTTATAAACAATTACAGTACTCTTGAAAACTATACAAGATACTATGCTGAACATTCAAATAATGTTTGAGGGACTAATAACGAGCATTTTGCCTAATTATTAAGACGGCCAGTTCACTACAATTGGTTGATATTATCTACTATTTTTCCGTTTTCTCCAGCTTATTTTGAACTCGCAGTAGTTTTAATCGAACGAGATTTCGAAAACAGACGTATGCTATGCTAATACTTTTAGAATGTTTCTTCGTAAAGGAACTGGATTACTTGACCTACTTATTTGACAAAGTCATGCAGTCATCAATAATACAGCCATTTAGCACATGCTACATACTAACTAACTAGTCTAAGACAGTTTGAAACATAATTGTGTCTTCAGTTTGCGTGCTAACTTTATAAACAGTTCAGCGCGTCTCAGTATGGAATATTCTTTTTTATAAACTTTAAGGCTCATCTGTGGCCGTGTAAAAATGTCAGCTCTAAATATGTATACACAAGAGTATGAAGAAATCTTGAAGAAAAATTGTTTTCTTCGTCACAAAAGGTGATAGGCGCATTCGCTTTATTTTAAAATGTGTATAATATCGTATGCTTTTCGAATATCGTAGCGAATATGTTCAGTTACTCACATATATGAAATGTTGGAATTTGTTTATAAGAAAAAAATGTAACCCTTCGTTTTTCACATAAAAATAACAATTATCTTTGGAAATGGTTTGTGATTCACATCGCTAAGGTTAAATAGCGTATTTTGCTATAAAATGCCCTTTGAACGAACTCAGTATATTGCTCAGTAACCTAGTAGTGATGGCTGGAAGACATCTGTTTTGGCACAAACAATTAGAAATTCTCAAGAACTACTTGACCAATTTTGTTGTGGTTGCTGAAAGGTATGAAGCCTACGAATTTGAAGAATTTCAAGTAGCTGCGTGAAATTATCGTCGGATTAGCAACAAGTGCCAAAACCAGCAATTTGCATTTGGCCATAACTTTTTTAGTTTTGGTCGGATCTTTTTACGTCTATTCTCATCTTATAAGTCTCTTAAATACCTAAAAATCTTATTTGAAGATTTTTTTGTTCCTGGCAAAACTTTCGACTAAATCCCAAAAAACGGGTTTTCTCATCCTTTGTTGTCGAATAGAAAGTTTTCCCGCAAAAATTGGTGTGCCCATTTTATGTGTTCTTGTTTTAAATACCCTCTTGAACAACTTGCAGCAATAAAACTTAACTTTAGAATTATTTCGCAAGCCGGGGGTATTTTCGTCTAATATGTTGCACCGAAAAGAACTACCGTACTCACCTCCTTTACAGTTTTTCAAATTGTTTCTTTTCGACTTACCTAAAATATCTGTTCAATAAGACAGTGCACATGTGCTTGAATGAAAAACGTCCGTGTTTATTTTGTATATCATAAATTTTGATAACTAATAACCAAGTAGATATCATGAAAAATGTTTGTACCAAAAAGAAGTCTGTGTGGTTGAGTAATTTAAGTATCACGATGTCATTTAGCTAAAATATAATCGAAGAAACGCCTCGTTACAAGAATAGAATTAGAATTAATATACAAGTTATCAAATTTCAAAACTGGAAATTTTGCCTTGATAATTAAGAGAAAAATGTTATCATCATGATAATATCGGAGTGATAATAAGTTCTCAGCTATTAAGCTCCCCACTCATTCTTACACTTGCTTGCTGTCCAAAAAAAGCTCTCCATTTCTAATTGGTAAATATCCAGTTTTGGAATTTCACTACTGTAGGTCACTTGATTTCAGTATTATCTACAAACAAAATTATGAAAATATAATATGCAAATAACATGTCTCTAAAGATATGTTTGTATTTGGCAAAAGGTTTTCATCAGTATAACATACCTGCTCCATATATTCTGTATGGTTAGTATTGAACCAAGTATACATCAATTTTAAGTGCAAGTCTATAATTAGGATCATATTTAAAAAGCGTATTCCTTGCATGCATTTCAGTCTTGTGTAATCTTCGCCCCTGCTGGTTTTTAATAACTGCTTCCAGTTATAGCGGAGAGAAAATTTAACTATAAAGTGTGTTTCTATAAAATAATTAATGTCGCTATATTAATGTTTCCTCTTAAGGCTGCATAATATTATGTAGCATGAGCTTCAACTGAAAATTTATATTACATTACCTGGCATTCTGCCTGCTACATCCAGTAGTGTCGCTAACAAAACGGTAGTCATGTAGACGACGAAAAATGCACTGAAACAAATTAATATTACTAGACGTAATAGACATTGACATATATTTCAGTCAAGATAGTTGACACATTGAAAAGAAGTTGTTACTCACCATAGGATGTAATCATAACGCGTTGGTGTTACAATTCCATTAGAACAGGCCAATATTTCACTAGTCGCATTTAAACCTATATTTTTTATTTCCGCATCTATAAGCGCATCACTGTATCGTTTCATAGATACTTCTGAGCCCAATACTCCTAGAGGCATACATAAATATCTATGAAGAACTTTCCGTCTATACATGTTCATGTCTCTGTCAATTTCCTAAAAATGTTACACTATGTAAGTTAGCTCTACATTGTACGGCAGTGCAAATAGACAAAATATTTAGATCCTTAGAATGTAGAAAAAAATACATTATGTTATGAACTCTTGCTCTGGTAGGCCTGCATAACTCATGGAATTCACTGCGGTGTATGATAGTCTAACATTCATATGAATTACAAATGATGTATGGTTTTTTGATAAACAGAGTCCGACAAAAAGTCAGTCTTTTGACCGCTATCAGGACAACGTTCGTCTGAAACCGAAGTTGGATGTTCCGTTAAGTCAGAAATATGAATCGTGTTATAAGAATAAAGTGACAAAAGAACCTATATTTATACTTCTGGATTCATTTATGATGAGCTGTGACATCGGTTTTAGTGTAATGTTCAATACCGAGGATCATAAGGGTTACGAGGACAGTTAAATTAGACTAAAGTTCCAAGTTAACATGTACTACTATCAGAGTATCAGATAGCGGCACCAAGAAAAATTTGGAATGCAAATTATTTTCGGAAATGCTTGAAACCGTCATTCTTATCTACCAAATAAAAAATATAATCCTAGCTTTGTTAATAAAGCCTGTTACAAGCGTTATATCTTCATAAAAAAAAGGAATTGAAAAACAGCTGCACATTCACAGAGCTATTTATGCAAGACCCGTTTCCGTGAATCATTTTCATTATAATTTGCAAGTAAATATCATTTTTGTAAATGAAATGACCGTTTAACTCATTTTACTTCCCACGACTACTGGCGAGAAAGTAATGTGAACGGGAAAAATGAGATATATTTCATATCACGAAACACCATGTCACCATTTCTTGTCGGTCTGTCGCTTCGTCTGTCCGCTAATCGTTGGCCCGTCTATAAGTTGGAAAGTACCACTCGGTTTTGGACGAAATTTTCACAGAGGCTTTCCACTGTACCAAGGACGAAAAAGCTTCATAGTTTTTGAAAATCGGCTTGATAGCAGTGAAGCTACGGGGCAAAAACGCAAAAATTTAAAACTATAAATCGCTTAAGCTTCATCTTTCGACGTGATAGAGCAGGAGTTCCCGACCAGGGGGGCGCGCTTCCCTGGGAGGGCATAGAGAGATGTCAAGGCGGGCGGAAAGCGTTTGCATTTTAGAAAGAAAAAACAAAAAAAATAAACAAACAACATTAACAAATAACATTACAATGTAATGTTTAATTTACACGCATAAAATTAGAAATTAAATATTATATTCACTTAATCTGTCAACCGCTGTTTCAAAACCCGGCGTCGTCAATCGCAGTTGATACAAGTTTCGACAAGTCACAACATGAAATCCGCGCGCACCCCCTCCGCGCTCCGCTTAACGTTCGTCACTTTGAAAATAATTGTGTACCTACCAGACGCGGATGAGCATCTATGACATTCATTCCCACAAACTTGCGTAAAATTTGACGTTTCGATGTACATGTTTTGTTGAGAAATCTGTTTGAGTGTGTCAAATTATTGTGTCTCTCTGTTAAAGGGTAAGTTTGTGTAATTACAAACTTCAGTTACCATTTTTATTTAATTTACTAAATTGTTGATTGAGTGGAAACGCGTTCATAGATCGTCCATTTGGACTTTTTTATCATGTCACAGTCAAACCAACGTGGCGAAATAATTATATTTTGAAACGAAGAACTTTAAGTAGTTAATATTTATTCGAATTGTATTTAAAAATTACTATTATAATCTCAACTTGCCTACAAAAATATAAATTTCCCGGTGGCTAATATACTGTTGAATTCATTACGTTATTAAGATAAAATAATGGGCATATAATTTAACGATCAAAAGAACTTACCTGAAGTTCGATCGTAACTATATCGATCGTCCATTCCGAAGATGTATTCAACTAAGGCAGTAGGCCGCTGTCTACGTGCGCCACACATTTTTAAGAAGAGATACTAGACCAGTACCATCCAGAGGTGATGGCCATCCAAGAAACGAAATTGGACGCTGCCCGTAGACTGACGTTCCCGCGGTACGAGACGTACCGCTACGAAAGAAGAGGCAGAAGTGGAGGAGTCGCACTACTCGTCAAACGTACCCTGACTAGTCATGTCCTTGACGACGCCACAGACATCAGTGGGGACGGAATCACGGTCCAGGTCCATCACAACCACCGTCCCTACAGAATATCCTCCCTGTATGTGCCACCAATGGAGGCACTAGACGAAAATGACATCGCTGACCTCCTGAAAGGCCCAGGAGCACGCATAGCCATCGGAAATCTAAACTGCACGTCTCCGGCATGGAACAACAACGTCGAAGACAGGAATGCAAGGCAGCTCCAAGAACACGTCGATGCCCTGGCGGGGGTCATCGTCGGTCCGGAGCAACCAACCTACATTCCATTCGGCCTTTAGCGACCGGCGGTACTGGTCATAGCCATCCTCCGCAACATCAGAGACGAGTTCGAGATAGAGACCCTGGAGGAAGGATCGTTGGACCACAACCCTATCCTACTAACGCTTGGCACAGGGGCTGCAGCTCAAGACCACCAAACGGACGAACTGGAAAAACTACAAATCCAACGTCCAAAGGAATATTATCCAAATTCCATCCATCCGATCAGCGGAGGAACTGGACAACGCAAGTAGAGGAGCTGGAGAATGCTGTCCTGCGAGCGCACGAGGACAGCACCCACTCCGAAACTAAGGCAGTTCCAAGACACCTAAATGGTCCAGCACCGCACCATATTAGGCACCTGATCAGGGAGAACAGAAGACTCAAGCGAGTACATCTCCAGCTGTTGACAGAGGAGTCGAGGATTGCGCGAAACAGAGCATCGCTAGCTATGAAGAACGCACTCGCGGAACTCCAAAACAGCAGATGGAATGCAGCCTGCGTGGAACTAGAGACCCAGGATGGTACGGCCTGGACTATGCAACAAAAATTTCGTCGTCAGCGCACCACGATCCCCACACTTCACGGCCAACGCGGCTTGGCCTATTCCAGTGAAGAAAAAGCCGAAGCATTCGCGGATTCGCTAGAATCCGAATGCAGGCTCAATTACCATGAAGACGAGGACGACAACCACGAGGAGGCCGTAGAAGTCGCAGTCGAAATCATGAGGAGACGACCACCTGGCCAGAAGACGGATCACCCCTCCAGTCCAGAGGAAATCCGCCTGATCATCCGCAGGTTGAAGATCAGAAAGGTGCCGGGAAGGGACGGCATCAACAACAGGATGCTGAAGAACCTTCCCTCCAAAGGCATTGCTGCGCTCAAAAAAAATCGCCAATGCCACTCTGAGACTTAACCACTTCCCGCGGCGGTGGCGGGAAGCCCAGGTTATAATGCTCACCAAGCCAGGCAAGGACCGGAAGTTTCCTCAGAACTACCGGCCCATCAGCCTGGTTTCCTCGATGGGCGAAGTAGTCGAAAAGGCTATCGCCGTTTGACTAGAGAAGCAGGCAGAAGAACTGAAACTTCTCTCCCCAGAGCAATTCGGCTTCAGATCCTCCCACAACATGGAACTCCAAGCGCTGCGACTGACAGAAAACATCACCAGTGGCTTCAATCTCCAGGAGGCAAGCGGCCTCGTCCTGCTGGACGTGTGCCAACTGATCCAGAGCTATCTAACACAAAGATGGTTCACGGTGAAGATTGGTACATGCCACTCAACAAGACGACAGCTGGAAGCAGGCGTGCCACTGGGGTCATCCTTAGCCCCCCTGCTCTACAACATCTACACTCACGACGTACCGAAGACACCTGACACAATGCTTGCCCTATATGCAGACGACACTGCTATAGCCGCCAAGCATCGACGACCCGAGATCATCCGTAGGAGACTACAGGATGAACTGGACCACATCCAGGACTGGTGCGTGAAATGGAAAATCCGCATCAACGTCCAGAAGACGCAGGCAATCTTCATCCAACGAAGAAGGATTGCAAGACCTCTCAAAGCATCCATCTTCGACATAGATATCTAGTGGAGCGACAAAGTCAAATATCTGGGGATCGTATTTGACGAGTCCCTCACCTGGAAAGATCACATAGAAGTTGTCATCGCAAAGACCAGAGCAGACATGGCCCAACTCTACCCATTACTGGGTAGACACAGCCGAATGCCGCTAGCGACCAGGTTACGGCTGATCAAGGCCATGGCCAGTCCTCAGCTCGCTTACGCCTCCGCGGTCTGGGGGTACGCTGCACCCAGCTACCGCAAGCGACTTGCTGCTTTAGAGATGAAGCTACTCCGGATCGCCACCAGTGCACCATCCTACGTAAGAAATTCAACCTTGAGTAGAGACCTGCATTGGGACATTCACGAGTACATGAGGAAAAAAGCGGAGAAGACCTTCCAGAAAGCTCAGGACCACCCCAACGAGCAGCTACGACTCCTCATGGACTACGATCCGGACGAGAGGCCTCACAACCGCAGAGCCAAGTACCCTAGACCAAGGTCCGAGTAGGCACCCGCTAACTGGAACCTTGAATAGGAGAACCCGCGGTTGCTCCCCACCCCCCCCCCCCCCCCCATCAGGACCAGGACCAACCAGGACCAGGACCCATCAGGACCAGTTAACAAACAAGTAGAGGACTTGAAACTCTTGATTTTTCGGAAACAAGAGTTTCAAGAGAACATAGCAAACCCTATATCGATGCTCGCTTAACGACATCGATAGAACTGTGCGAGGTAAAGGGAACCAACCCGGCGTTCCCAGAGACTGAAACACATGAGGAGACGGTGTAGCAGACCGCAGGTCACGCACAACACATGGCCTACCGAGACGCTGATGAGTCGGGCCACGCGGAGGTTAGGGTTTAGTGGGTATTAGGTGGTCTCCTCAAGACAACCTGGATACCCACACACGCCGTAGCTCGGGCTATGGTATGGTGCATAAACGCATTCCCCCCTCACCAATAAAAAAAGGGCGTATTGCAGCATCTCAACGCTTCATTTGAAATAGCTTTTATGATAGCAAAGCCAATGAAACCTCATACTGTCGGTGAAGAATTAATAAAACCATATGACCTAAAAGCCACGCAGATAATTTTAGGAGAAGGTGTAGAGCAAAAAATGAAGTATATTTCTCTTTCGAGTAACACAATCAAGCGTAGAATCAATGACATTGCAGCAGGCATAAAGTCACAAATAATTATCAAAGTAAAATTATTGCCATTTTTGCCATTACTTGCGATGAATCCACCGACATCGTTAATTGTGCACAGTTAATAGTTTAGGTTCGTTACATCTGCGGAGATATCATTCAAGAAGAGATTTACTTCCAATCTTTGACAGCAGGTACTACATCTGAACATCTATTGAATTCAATATCAAATGTTGGTGAAAAAAATGATTTGGATTGGAAGAAACTCATGTAGGTGTACGATCGAGCTTATCTAAAAAGCTAAAGGAAAAAAATCCCGCAATGGTTGGTACACATTGTGTTATTCATCGGCAGGCGTTGGCTTCCAAAACATTGCCACAGAAATTACGCCAGACTTTGGACTCGGCTATAAGGAATGTAAACTACATCAACAGCAGCGCTTTGAACAGTCGGTTGTTTACTTTACTTTGCGACCTCGATTCTGATCACAAAGTTCTTCTGTTCCATACAGAAGTTCGCTGGCTGTCCAAAGGCAACATGTTGGCTCGCCTTTATGAATTGAAAGAAGAGGTAATTATTTTTCTTGAGTTCAAAGAAAAACACGATTTCTTGGCAATGTTCAAAGGTGATGCATTTCAGTGGAGGTTGCCTTATTTAACTGACATATTTGACTCCTTGAATGAGCTAAACTTGAAACTTCGGGGCAGAATCAACACTATAATAAGCAATTATGATTATATTCAGGGGTTCATATCAAAACTTCAACTTTGGAATCAAAAAGTGTCTTCTGAACGCAAATTTAAACGCTGACATAAAAACACATTTGCAAGCGCTGGAAGACGAATTTCGCCGATACCATCGAGAAATCAATTCAGAGTCACCAATATGGCACATGACAAGAAATCCATTTGTTCTCAATGTGTCACAATTACCAGAAGAAATTCAGGAAGAATTTCTAGAAATGAAGGCTGATTCGTCCACGAAAAATGACTTCCATCTTTTAACATTGGAGAAATTTTGGATCAAAAGATTGCCTGTTAATTCGACACTTGCGTCTTTTGGTTTACAATACTTATGTGAGACAGGTATTTCTGCTCTAGTTTCAATTAAAACTAAACAGCGAGATCGTCTTGATGTCGATAGCGATCTGATGATTGCTTTGGCAAAAACAGAACCTAGAATCAACCAACCGGTACAGAACATGCAATCTCAAGTGTCTCATTAGTACCTACTCTTGTTTTATTCAAGTTCTTAGATAAAAAGCATTTATTAGATTATTTAAACCTTTAAAGTTTCTTTATTAGAATTAAAATACCTATATAATGTGCGTTTCTTTTGTATTTATTGAATAAATAAAGGGGGACATGAAAATAAAATTTATAATAAAAAAAGGTTGGGAAACCCTGTGATAGAAGATCCTGATCATCTTAAAAAAAAGATGTAGGTGTTAAAATTTTGGAAGTGTTTTGACGTTGTTATTTTTAAGCACCTCAAACCCCGGTAATTCTACGCACCTGTTAGAGATATTTCACACAACATAGATGTCCCCTCACCTTTGCCCTTAAAACATGATAGAAAAATGCTTTCAATACACGGCCCTATTTCTGTTCCCTGGGCTCACCGGCGGACATGCCGTCCTTGACAAATGTTGTACCATTACTACCGTTTGGTCAAGTAATAATAAAAGTAAATAGATTTAATGAAATACATATGTAGAACAGAGTCTAGATAAATCTGCAAAACTCAACCTACTCCAATAACACCATCAGGAACCATGAAGAATAGAATATTTTAACTTATAAGCATTGCGAAACATTTCATAAATTCGTATGAAAGCCAAAGAAGATACAATAAATTTAAACCACAATAAATGGATAAAAAACAAAATACAATGAGATAAAAGAATAAATTGAATCAATCTGCCAACGTAACGCTAACGATGTTGAAGAAGCTGTTTGGACCGTTTTTTTTTCATACTATTTACCGCCACATTTTTTGAATATTGACTTGCGTCATTGTATATTTTGATATAGTTGTAAATAAGCGACCGACGGGAATGTGGTACTGTAAAGAGAGATTTCTAGGCGATTTTTAAATCTAAAGTTCTACTACGGCGCGCTACAAACTTTTATAACGATAAGCAGCGGATTTTGTAAGCTTCGTCCATACATAACCAACCCAGCTTAGTAATATAACATGAAATGGGAAATGGTGTAAGGAGGTATGGGGAGGGTGACTTTTCCAGATGGCTTGTACTACCGGAAGGGAAGGGAAGATGTGTATATTAATTGTATGGATCTGTTTAATTCACTTGATCTAAATGATTTATCTGTGATACATGTTCCTTACAAACTTTTTTGTGCACTACTGGCATTGCCACTGGATATTGTCAGCTAAGGAAGCTGAAGTGTGAAACAAAGCGACTCATACTTGTATAGGAGATGTGAACAGGAAGATGAGATACATAGTTAAGCCCCTTCGACAGTCCAGCGTCATATCTCAACTCACCTCTAAAAAGTTCCAAATTTCACTGCTCGTGTTCATGGTCCAAAGTTTTGCATCGACAGCACAATAAATATTTCCATTAGCAATGCAATCATAATAATCATCAACATTAAATAAATCAGGTAATAACTTCCACTCCTCACGAAAATAAAAAGATTCTTTGGAGGCACCCTTTGCCGCCATTATCAAAGTAACAATTGAATAATTTCAATTCCATGATGGATATTTATCCGCTATTTATTCGTAGTACGTTTGATTGTTGTATAAAAAACAAACGACTTATAGTAGGAGATCCCACAACAACCCTAGAATTTATCTGGCGATTCTTTCGCCAATTTATCTACATGTTCTACTGATCGTTAAGCGAAACCGCAGATGTATATGTATCAGTATTTTTTAGTATCTACATCTGTAGTTTCGCCTAATCGCCAGAAGAACATGGAGATTTCCTTTGGCAAAAGTATGTAAGGTGGCAATAGCATATTCGAGAAGCTACACCAGCGTTATCTTATCTGAATGTATCTGATACTATGCACAAACAAAAATATGTACGTCCAACCTCATAATGAACTCTTAAAATCTATCTTGACTTACCTGCCCTCACATTACCATGGACGTAACTTTCAGATACAAGACCTTCAGGAGTATATAGTGTTGGTTAATAACCCTTCCTGCAGTATAATCCGAAACACAGCTTTCATACCAAAGCAGCCGCGCAGGCAGAAGCTTAAATGCCGGAACACCGCGGCTGCTATGAAGATCCAAAAGAAATTTTGTTAATCCGATTTTTCAACTGACTAGGCTTAGTCGAACTGGTAAAAGCTTTCTCTTGTAGATTGTTCTACAATCTCGACAACCTTGGGACAAAGGAGCGGTCATATCGGCTAGTTTTGGATGTAGGAGGTTCGACACGGTTAGGATGGGCGGCCAAAGTCAAGCGGGTCTGTCTGGCAAGCACTTAAGCATCATGGAAGAGAGCTCTGAGGAGCAAAGCCCGTTGGTGTAGCGGTAGAAGAGAGCTAGATCGCCGACGGCCCGCCGCGCCGGAGCGAAAGGGTTCGAAGACTGTCTGTGGCAGAAGAGACGTCGATCAGTCGGACAGCCGTGCTCTGGACAGCATCGAGCATAAATAATGTATTCGGGGCGGCAGCACCCCAAACGTGTGAGCAATACTCGATGATGACCCTTATGCAGACTTTCAGAGTGCTAAAGTAATCTTTGCAGTTGAGGTGGAGAGAACAAGACTAGTAGCGACTTCTCTAACAAAATGCCTGGTACTTTTTTTATTGGGTGCGGTTTATTGCTCCTAAGACACGGTACTGTACTTATAAGGAGTGGCGTGGCTCAAAACGTTGTGTTACAAACTTTTGATAACTTATACAGGCGATAACCAAAATCAATGTTTCAACAATACGATATACCAATGCGAAATTGAAATGGTAACATCTCTTGAACGTGCTTCTCGTACTCTTGTTCTTTCATAGCGCTTTGACTAACTTTCCGCGAGATTTGGGGATGAATTCGTTATGACTGCGACTCCATTACGATATTGTCTTTGCGGTAGACACTGTTTCTTGGCTGATTCGTAAATAAATACACCATTCTAATTTCGGTAGCCTCCTCTACTAAATACTGAAAAATAAAATCAACTTTGAAAAATACGTGCGTTAGAAATAATTCAAATGATTTTGTGGCACCCTGTACTAACGAGAAGCGTCGACATCCAGATTTGATACTTGGCGGAGCTTTACCAAAAAGTCATTCGTTTTGGCTTTTCGGAGTTGAGGTTTTTAAAAACACTGTTTATAACTGATAGCTATTCAGAAGAAACGGCTATCCAACTGATCATTGGCACGTACCTAAAATGCAGCTACAGCTTAGATAACAATCAGCTGTGTGTATGTAACTCCCCTGTCAGTGTTAAAAAAGGCCGCCATTGTTTCGGAGAAAATTACATGCAAATTCCCCTAGATCAACGATGAAAGAGCTGGCCGGTGTTGCCACGTATCATGCCAACGGCCACAGATCTTAAAATGATAATACATTGATATGATATAGTGTAATTTGTGTCAGTCAGTAATATAAAGGAGTATGTTTGTCCAAAAGGGAGCGACGTAGATATATATATATATATATATAACTTGAGACGTGGTCATTGTCGTCTAGACCAGTTAGGTGAAAATTAAAGCTTCCGCCTTTTGTTGGGTACCTCGACAAAATTTAAGCAAGGAGGACTCTTTATACTTTTTTAATCTCTCTAGCTTTCAATGGTCTTTGCCATCATCATCAGGAGAGTAGTATGTGAGGATGTTGCTAAATGTTATTTACGTTAAGGATGTAGTCAAAGCTGGATACATGGTACAATGGTCAAAATTGTAATGCTTAACTTTCATTTTAAATATTTTTAATCTGTTTTCAATTTGTTCTTGTCATACAGCTGTGTGTAGTTTGTATAATTTTGACCACTGTACCATGTATCCAGCTTTCACCATGCTACTGGGTGTTTCCCTCATCCTTAACGTAAATAACACTTAGCAACATCCTCAAATACTACTCTCCTGATGATGATGGAAAAGACCATTGAAAGCTAGAGAGATTAAAAAAGTATAGAGTCCTCGTTGCTTAAATTTTGTCGAAGCACCCAACAAAAGGCGGAAGCTTTAATTTTCACCTATATATATAAATATATATATATATATATATCGTTCGTTTTTTTTTCCCCTCCAACTTCGTTTCCTCAGGTTACATCCGTATCCGGATGTGTGGGCATGTGTATCTACTTTTGTAGTTTCATATGTGCATTCATTTCGGGCCTGATGAAGCCAACCAGCAGAAATACGTATCGCTCGGGTTACCTATCCTATTTTCTGCTTACAATGCGACCTTCTACGCCGAAGTGGGGGCCATTTTTGACACCGACAGGTGAGATTCATAGCTGATGGTTATCTAAGATGTGATTCAGCTCCAAGCCTCTCCGACATCAAAGGAAAGTCAATGATTTGAGATTATGCCAATGGAACCTTCTGATCTACTTTTGTTCTTTTTTAGTAACAAGGGAGTAAGGGCTCAGTGACTTGCCACTCAGCCATAATTCTTACTGTACACCTCCAGTCCCAGGTACTGGGAAGCGTTCTATTTCAGCTTGTTGGTAAACTTCGCAATCCTTCGGACTATATCCCCTTGACTTCCCTCTAGACTTGTCAAGTAGGTGCTCATTATGTTGTTAACGACAGGGCAGTCGAAAATATAACATGCTTTGCAGTTACTTCCGTTTCTATGCACATCCAACGTGAGGACCTTGAAACATCCGCATTTTCGGTAGGATCCGTACTCAATCTAAGTGCTCCTGCTGTATTTGACCTAGAAAGTAATCTCAGCATCTCCTTCGATTGCGTGTGTTCCACCTCTTATGATGCTCATGTCACACCCAACGGGAAAGAGTGGCTCGTGCAAGGCGATTCCTGTATGAAATGTCACAGGCCGGCTACGGTATAACGTATCTTGAAAAGTGACATTACGTAGGTTTTTTGACATTGTACTGGTTTTTTGTGACACTTCACACTCGTTCTGTGTGTTGCCTAAACGTCATCACGCTTCGGCTATCAATGTTTGGCTTTGATGTGAAGTAACATCTGCTTCAGAGATGGCACTATTGGATGTCTAAGCTATAACTTGTACACTGTAGCTGGTAGGAAACTGCAGCATAGTGATGTTTTGTGTGCTAATAGAATCTGAGTTTATGATAATTTCATTGATTTCTTGTCTTAAATAGACTTACTTGAGATATATGCGAAGCTAGAAATTAGTTGCGTATTTACTTTCTCTTCAGAAAGGACTCCACAAATAATCCGTCTGGTACAGCTACTAGATATACTCCAAGGGAAGCATATTCAGTAATAATTTTCTCACATAGCAAATATCACTGATTTTATGTACTAGTAGATGCAGACCAATACACACAATTACCACACGATCATCCAGGTGCGATCTTGCTTTTCAATCAACTTTCTTTCTGACACATCTTCTCAGAGATAAACTCTACAGACTATCTCGGCAGTCTGCAACCAATAAAGCAAGCTTGGTCATTACCACTAACTATTTGCACACTAGGAACTGTCGAATCAGCAAGTTGATATTTGTTGGTCTCTGCCAGTATGTGAGGGTATTATGGCAATCCCATGCTATCTTCGAGATATAGCAGTAGCTTGCTAATGACATCAGATTAGCTCGGCTGTGTTTAGAAGGATGATCTTCTTGTGATACCGCCCATATAAGCCACACTTTGTGACTGCAGCAATTTCTGCTTGACATACGGTAGTCAGCTTAGCTAGGCATATGCTTCTGGGCGGCCTGGTCTGACGCCGAAAATACCTTCTTCCATACCTGAAGACATTTCCGACGCATCAGTATACCAAGTAATTTTAGTTTGGCATGCATATGTCTGTTCAATCTGAGGCCGTTCGAATCGATACGATATGGTATCTCAGTATCGATGACTTTCTGCATTCTGTCAGGTGACATTCCAAGTATGTCGCACCGCAAGGTGTCATGGGTTGTGGTGTGTCTCATGGCATGGTGCTTGAACCAATGTTTAGGTGCTTTTTAAACCGCAGCAGCCGCTTAGGCAGAAGCCTAAATGCCACGGCAACGCAGCTGCTATGAGAATCCCAAAGAAACTTTGTTAATCCGATTTTTGAACTAAGGTTAGTAGAACTGGGAAAAGTCTCCTCTTGTAGATTGTTACACACTCTCCACACCTTAGGGACAAAGGAGCTCGCATCGGCCAGTTATGGATGTACAAAGCTCGGCATGGTAAGGATAGGAGAGGGAAGTCAGGCGGGTCTGTCTCGGAGGCACATCGCGCGGCGGCATCATGGAGAAGAGCTCTAAAGAGCAAAGCCCATTGGTATAGCGGTAGAAGAGAGCTAGTTCGCCGACGGCCCGCCTGTTCGAAAGGGTCCCGTGATTGTCTGTTAGAGAAGAGTCATCAATCAGTCATGCAGCCCTCCTCTGAACAGCATCGGCCATTAGTAATGTAGTGGGAGTGGCAGCACCCCGAACATGTGAACAATACTTGAAGCAGTACATAGTGAGAAGATCTTGAGGAGGAAAATACTTCTTAACCCTAAACAAATAGTCTAGGTTTTCCTCTACAGCTGCAGCTATTGACGAGATATGTTCGTGCCAGATCAAGCCCTCAGTGATATGGACTCCGACCAGCCGAAATTAATGGTTCTTTGGCAGAACTTGGCCAACCATCAAAACTGGATGACCGCTGAGACGCTTTTTGTTCGTTATAAATATCGAGGAGCGCCATGCTTAAAAGAACCTCCAACGCTGCAATTGCGGTACCCTTCATGTCTCCGGTGGTGCCCAGATACGCGGCTCGCTGCACTTTTGAACGAACAATAGCGGCTGTGCTTTGCCTGGCTTTCGGCTACCATCACACCATCATCGGTCTAATCACCATGGTGTACCTTAGAAAAGGTTAGACCGAAATTAGCAGCGGGCTCTTCTGATATTATGTAATTGTGTATTTTAGAAGCCTAACAAACACAATACTGACATTGATTGATGTACACCGTAGCAAGGTACAAGCGATAACGTTTAAAGGTCGAATTACACGCGCCTTCCTAATAGAGCTTTTAAAACTCAAATAACGATTTCAAGTGGGTTGACTGAAGTGATAGAGTGATTGCTGGAAGAAATAGTTGAGCATTAGGGTGGAGTGATCTTATCGGTGACGATTTTTTTTGTCGATTTTTATAAAGTAATAATTTTAGAAAGTTGCATTTTCAGATAATTTAAACACCTGCAAAATCTGAAGTTTTTCGGTTTACGTTTTGAGGTGCCCCGAGGTCCCAATTTTTTGGATTATTAATATTTTTTCTGAAAATGTAATAAAGGTAATAAGTTGCATGTGTAAGAAATATAATTACCTATAAAATTATAGGTTTCTAAGTTAGCGTTTTGAGGTGCCACAGAATTTTTTTTAAATGTTTGTCATTTTTTTAAAAGTAAATGAGACGAATAAAATTAGTAAACATTATCACCTTGCTTTGAAAAATTATTTATTTATTTCAAACAAAAATACGGTTATATTCGGCAAATAATGATTAAAAATAAGGTAAAAATGTAGTTAAAAAACGTATTCAAAAACTTTTTATGACGCTAAAAAGAATAGTCGGCCTAATTTTTGAAAGAGGACACTGCTTCTGCTTGAATGTGACATGGAAATAGTCTTATCTCGTCATCACAATCTAAACCGTTATTATCGACCACTTCTTTGAACTTGTCTAAAGTAAGCTTAACAGTGAGCGGTGGCTCGGTGATATGGCATGTTTGCCAGTCGATAAGATCTATGTAATCAGTAGCTTCAAAGTTGAAAGCTGGAATAGTAAACACACGCCTCTCTAATTCTTTCTGCTGACTTCTTGCTTTCAGGATTCTACAATAGGCTAATTATCTTATAAACTTTCTGTCATCAGCGAGCATCCATAGCAAAATATACTAAGTGACATATAAATCCGAACACCCAGTTTAAATGGTTTTATTTTAATAAAAGTTGGTGAACGTATTTATCTTACTGTAAATAACAAGTGAAAACATTTTCAGCCTTATCAGTTGGGAGATTTGTTCTGAAACTTGACCTCTTTTATTTCGATTTAGGAAATCATCGATTAAGGTGTTCTCACCAGGCAATACTAAGCCGGTTCTACCATTTACACTCTGGGTGCTGCCTCAGCTGTGTAATACTAGTTATAACACACAGTATATACTAAGTGACATATAAATCCGAACACCCAGTTTAAATGGTTTTATTTTAATAAAAGTTGGTGAATGTATTTATCTTATCAGTTGGACATTCCGGTTTTTATACTGCTTTTTTTTAATTCACTAACGCTCTAAAAATGAATATTTCAGCCGCAGTAAAGAATCAACGTTGGCGGATTTTGGTTCTTGACATCCTTTACGATCGGTTACGATGCCTAGAGTACGGAGACCTGTACGATTTCGTCAACTTAGTGAGTTTGATAGGGGCCGTATAGTGGGACTCCGGGAAGCTGGACTTTCTTTTCGGGCAATTGCAGTTAGAGTGCAAAGAAGTGTAGACACTGTGGTTAGGTGTTGTCAGGCATGGCTTCGAGAAGGCCGTACGCAAAGAGCAAGGGGCACTGGACGCCGCCGTAGAACAACAGACCGTGAAGATCGCCGCCTAAGATTATTGGCCTTAAGGGACCGTTTCTCCACTACCAGGTTCATTGCAAATGAATGGTTTGCAGAACACGGAAGACCTATTGGCATGCGAAGTGTTTACCGACGAATGAGAAGTTTTGGCTTGTTTTCATACCGGCCATCCTGGGTCCTCCCTTTAACTCGAGAACACCGACGTAATCGCCTTGAGTAGTGCAGACAACGGTCACTCTGGGATCAGGAATGGACTAGTCTCGATTTTGTTTAGGCATGCACGATGGTCGTGCCAGGGTTAGAAGGCGACGTGGTGAAAGGAGGGATCCACAGTTTTTTGTTGAAAGACATGTTCATCACACAGTTGGAGTTATGGTTTGGGGTGCTATAGCTTATGGTTCCAGGTCACCTTTAATCTTCATCAGAGGTAACATGAACGCGCAGCGTTATATCCACGAAATTCTAGAACCCCATCTTTTACCCTATCTTGACACCCTGGCAGATCCAACTTTCCAACAAGATAATGCCCGACCACATGTTGCAAGAGTCACAATAGCTATGTCCACACTGTGCCTTTTTTTGTTCAATAAGGGCATGCGCTATAGCGCAGTCAACAGCGCACGTGAGGCATGCCTTTAACGCAAGCGCGATGGCAGTTGAAAGCGAAGCGCGCGCTGTGATACACGTTTTCCGGCGTCGGGTGGATGTCTGTACCTTATAGCGTTCAACAACAAGATGGCGGACGAAGAAAAAGATTTAACATTAAAGTTTATTGAAGATTACAGAAGCTTTCCACAACTCTGGGATCCAAATAATAAACTTTATACAAATAAAGTAAAGAGAAACGATGGTTTGCAAGTTCTGGCTACTAAATATAAAATGGATATCGATGGAGTTAAAAAAAGATAAAAAGTCTTCGCTCGTATTTTTTCAAAGAGCATCAACAAGTCATCAGGAAAAAGAGCGGTGCTGGATCCGATGAGATTTATGTTTCACCGTGGTTTGCTTACAAACAACTCTTATTCACTGCTGACTTGGTGACGCCGCGGGAAACTAGAGAAAGTAGTACTGAGGATGAAAAGGTATTTTAAAATGCATATTTATTTAGGCAAATCAATTTATTACTTTTTCCACAAAATAAATGTGATAGGTGTATAGTTATAAGTGTCGGGTTTGAAACGGTATTGCTCCAATATCTGATATGAAATAATTCATAAATTCATCTCGTATTTGGTTCGATGTATTTGATGACCTACGAGGAATTCTTTGAAGTGGCCTATAACCGCTGTCATTGGCAGTTATTACTCTCCATGACCCGGGAATGATTTCTCCAGTGCTTACATCCTCATTACCAAAACAACCTGGAGGGCAGTAATCCCGTGTAGAATCTGTCTGCATTCGTAGAAAATTGTGTATGTAAACACAACTCAAAACAACATCAATTACAGTACTGTCGGCTTTTAATTCAATGGGCTTACGGAATATTCTGAATACAGATGCGAGAAGCCCAAACGCATTTACAACGATACGTCTTGCCCTTGATAACCTATAATTATACACTCTTTTTGGTGATCCCACATTTAAATCGGTTGAATATGGTTTCAGAGTATAGGTACTTAGTGCAAATGCATCATCAGCAACTAATACGTAAGGTACTGACATGGTTCTACCACGTAGTGGTTCACTATTTGGTAAATTAAATTCGTGTTTTTCAATTTGCTTATAAAATGAAGTGGATTTGAAAACACCACCGTCCGAAATACGACCCTGACAACCAACATTAACATATGTAAAACGATAGTTTGCATCTACAATTGCAAACAATACTATGCTATGTGTTCCTTTGTAGTTATGAAATTCGCCCACTGTATTTTCTGGTCTTTGGATGACCACATGTTTTCCATCCATGGCGCCAATACAATGTGGAAAGTTCCATCGCTTGTCAAAATCAATCGCTTTCCATTGCTCCTCGTTTGTTGGTAACTGTAAAAACAAACAAAAAAAAGGATTTCAGTACGATTTATATTTTTTGCAGGACACGCCGGCTGAAATATTAAATAGAGAAAAACTCTGCGACTTCGCAGTCTACGTGTATATCTGAAGACGAGCATGAATTTACCCTACCACCAATAAGAAAGAAGAGAAATATTAAAAGTACAACGATTGACGATAAAGAGGCGGAAGCTTAAAATTTTATGAAAAAAGCTGGTGAAGAATTAAGTCAAAAAGATGAGTTCACTACTTATGGACAATTGATAGCTCATAAAATTCGAAACCTTAATACATTTAATCGGCTTATAGCTCAACAACGCATAAACAATATACTCTTTAATCTGGAAATGCAACAGATAACTGGTGCAGCAGCAACGCATAATGTTACCGAGATGCGGAATGGAACTGAGATGAGGAATGCGACTGAGATACAGAATATGACTGAGATACATAATGTTACTGATATGCGGAATATGACTGAGGTACATAATTTTACGGAGATACCGGAGACACAGGCTGATTCAAATATTATAGATATTAGCAATATTTCTGAATTTGTTCTATTTAAAAAATGATTATGGTTGTGTTTTTTAATAAATGAAACTGTTACTTACCTTAATATAATCCTTGAGTACTTCAATTATGGCTTTTAATACATCTGGTAGCATTGCTGATATGAATTGTTTGGATACTTTGAATAAAAACGAAAGGGACATTAAACTGTCTCCAGTAGCTAAAAACCTTAGCGTTATTGCTAACTTTATTTCACTAGGTATAGCTTCACGTAACTGGGTTGACTGCTTTGTAATTTTTGGTTTAAGCAATTTCAAAAGTCGATCCAATTTTTTTTCGGACATGCGTGTAAAATTTTTAAAAAGAATATCTTTATCTTCTCTTAGTTCACTCATAATCACGTTACTTCGATTATTATAATAACCTCGTATCCAAAACTTTCACTTGGTTCTTTTTTTACTGGAATTTCTGATGACCAAGTAAGCTGCACATAGTCCACCAAGTAAAATATTCTCGTCGCACATGTTTCCAAATTATGACAGAAACTACGACTAAACTATGGTGTTGCTTCCATTTAACGCATTCACTTATTGTAAGCGTTAAACGAAAGTCGAATAGAAAGATGAAGACGAAAGTTGACGATGAAAAGGTACAGTGTGGACATAGCTAATAGACTTCTTTCAACATAATGATGTCACATTGTTACCATGGCCACCAAGATCTCCCGACTTATCCCCAATTGAGCACGTGTGGGATATGATGGGTAGGAGATTGCTCAATTTGCAACGTCCTCCTCAGACTCTAGAAGCACTTCGAGAGGAGTTGGTGGTTGCCTGGAATGAGATACCACAGGAGGACATTTACCACCTGATCAGAAGCATGCCTAGGCGCGTTGGAGAATGCGTAGCACATCAGGGTGCATCCACACATTATTAAAGGTCAAAGGGCTTTAAAGCAGTGCAATCATTTTGAAATTTTTATCATTTACTTATTATGCTTCATTAAGTACTTATACAAAATTTTATTAAAATAAAACCATTTAAACTGGGTGCTCGGATTTATATGTCACTTAGTATACTTTCTGGATGTCCAAAATAACCGTTGCGTTGGATAACTGGATCTATCAACTTTTTTAACTCATTAGAAAGGTATGTATTTCTTTTGATTGACATCCAGAGATGGTATGTACCATTGGTACACGAAGGACTCGTTTTTATATCGAACCACGTAGGACCATACACTTTCATGACGAATGTGGCTAAAGTTTTTGAATTTTGACATGGTTCTTCTGCCGCAATATATAAACGTAGTACCCTGCACGCTGTTGTGAGCCACCTAGAATGAGATAAATTTCCTAGATGTTTTTCAAACCTGGAGGACAAGATCCCGGTGCGACTGCTCTCATTATACTGAGAAAATAATTCTGATCCGTACTCAAATGCTGTTCATTTGTTACATTTGGCAAAGTAACAGGAATAACAACATAATTTACTACAGGTAGTTTTTCACATGACTGTAGTTGTTTGCCTATAGGAAAACAACGAGGGCCTGTCACTTGTCCATCTAGATGTTGTAGCACGTGGCGTAAAGGAAGTTCGTTAGCGTGAACTTGGCAAAAGACGAGCAACACCACCTTTTCATCCAGTATTCATGGGTGTACCATCACAACCAACAACAGTTAAATCTGATAAATTAACAGATCTTTTATTTAGATATTTGACTAAACTATATTTAATTATTAATGCAGCTCCAGAGTCACAAGCTATGTGACCGAAATACTGACTGCCTGGTTCTTTGACAAGGACATAGTGCTCGTTCATTTTAATTCTCCTAAGGTATTTTGAACCAACTTTTTCTTGTTCTAATATTTGTCTTTACGTCCGCCGAAATATAGTCTTATCAATGGTTCTAAATAACAATTTTGTTTTAGCTGTGAACGGATTTTTGTTCTTTCACTTCGAATTTTTGAACGGTCTAAATCTTGCATTTTTCCTATCTAGCTTTTTTTGTCCAATTTTTGTAGCACTCAGAACAACAGTCCCAATAAACATTTTACTGCCTGACCTTTGGTCTAGTAGAAAGGTTCTTTCTTGTTTTGGTACACGTCGCTCCCTTGCACATTGGCAGTTTTCTAAATTGTTGCAATTGCCATAGCAAATGTCAAAAAGCTTATTCGATTCGTTTTTGAAACTTGATAGTTTGTTTTTGTATATATGTTTCATTAGATTTCTATATTTATCGTGGTAAGCTCGAATGATTTGTAAAACTCGTGCGCGTGTCACCGTTGGAATGGATGCTTTTATCCAAATCTCTTCAACCTTTTCTGCTACGATCCTAAAAATGTCATCCACAGATGGATCTTTTGACTTCTTGTCTGATTTCAGGTCATTTCGAACCCAGAAATAATATTTCAGCACATCACAGTAAGTGGGCAGAACAGATGGGCTTAATTCATTTGGGGTCCCAAATACAGGACAACTATTAACAGTTCTTGTTTTTATCTGTGCCATTGTCTGAAAAACGATATTTAAAACAGTATTCCAAAATTATTAGTATTTTGTTTGAAGAACTTGCAATAATAAAATACTATTACTCCCAACTAACAATTATCACTCCTATTAGAGTTGCAAGAATGATTATACAGTCTTCCTGCATTGTATACTGTAAGAACATTGGCAAAACACACACACCTAATAGGACACTTCAGTCATTTAAGATGTTCTTTAAGTGCTGCAGGTAACAGTTATACAACAAAAGTGTAAGCCTCTTGCAGCCGCTATAGGACATTTGCGTCAGTGCAAGATTCAGTTTTTGTCAACTGTACAACTATTCTGTTACGTGATTCTACACTTTATTGCAACCAAAGTATTTCTTATGTATTGTATAGACGATGTAAAGAATATATAACTAAAACAATACAGCCATCTTGTTTACTTACATAACGGCCATTGTGAATTTCATACATAGGTATATGATAAACTTCTACACTATGATATAGGGCTATTGAATTACTTGCGCAGCAAATTTTATTGTGATTATCGTGCAAAGTAGTTACGCAATTTCTACGGGCTTCGTATTTGATTCATATTTTGATAATGATCAAAAGTATGTCTAGATTTTTAAGATGGAAAACTGAACTTGACACAATTACACTAATGTTTATTACTTTATATCTGTAATTTCGAACAGAAACATAATAATTCAATATCAAATAGGGGAATAAATGTTTGCCCAATATGGCGGGTGGTTGTGTATAATCATGGCATCGTCCATGTTGTCTTTAGTTTATTAGAATATTTTGGTGTTGCCTGCAGGTGTTATACAACAATTTGACAAATGTCAGAAATGAAATACCGACAGAGTCGAATGATTTACCTAGAATGTGTACCAGATCTATATCTTCTGTTTGAACAGTTGATAAAATCTTTTTAACCAATATCCATGCGTTATTTGTCTTAAAACATTGGTTATGGCATTTTAACTGAAATATGACAGCAGAAAGTTAGGTTATGGTGAAGGTGTATACCAACATATTTAGCATATGTACAGCCTTTAACAGTTACTAAACAACAGTTGTATAAGTGCTTCCGTTGCGAGCAATTTATTGGCTAAAGTAGTAAATTTGCACAGCAATACAACAAGCCTCGGGTTTGTTTTATAAACGTTACCATGGATGCCACAACACAACCATTTTGACTAACCTGCAAATATGCCGTATAAAATAGTTGTATAAACGTTTATGCAAGAGTAAAAAATTTGTCCTATAAGGTGTTGTGTAACTATGCTATACGAATATTTTAAACACCTCATTTTGGAGCAAATATGTTGCAGAAAGCAAATTTGCAGTCCAAACAACATTAAGCCAGCATTTTGGCGTTCAGGCAACAACAATAGAGAGCTTTTATGGCTGAACGGTTCTTTTACCAAAAGCTTATAGCACTACTTTGCTAGTTGGGTATGACCCATTAAAACTTCTAATTAAACAGATTTAAACAAATGCGAGCTTGCACTGCGTTCTGAGAAATTTGGACATTGGAACATGCCGTTCTTCGATTAATGGTATCGCATTACACGTGGCTGTTGGATATATATGAAATTCAATTAACCGATAATAAATATTATAAACATTATTCTCGCAACTGTTTTATTAGGCCGACGTACAAACAAACTAAACAACGATATTGTTTTGTCAAACTAAAAACAAAAATCGACGCTAATTAATCTGTAACTGCTGACTACCGACTGACGAGACTGACATCCTTGTCGATGTTGTCGCGTGGCGACGACACACTGTCCAAAATGATTGTTGGTGGGGAAATAAGTCAGGGGCGTCCAGGAGGCCTCAGAAGATACAGTATACATAAAAATAAAATAAAATAATTTTTAAAAGATACCTTTAACAGATAGAGTAAACTTTAAGGGAATGAATGGAAATTCAGACTATAAAAAGACCACGGTATTTTTAGAAATTTAGAGAATCTCTCTATTTTCAGGACACTTGGGGCACCTCTTGAGTACATTAGAAAACACAGTTACAATGACGATTTTATTATAAACATGTTTTCTCAACTTCCTTGGGAATTTGTGTGTTACATTAAATCGATCTAAAAAAATGTATATAATTGTCAAGTTTTGTAAAAAATTCTTGTCTTCAATGCGCTTGGGGCACTTCTTACCAAAAAAAATGGGAAAAAGCGTGATTAATACTTTTTGTTTACAAGCATATTTTGCAACCTTTCCTGAATACTACGTATCAAGTTTGTAAATTTCATTATTTCGCTCCACCCTATGGAGTATGAGAGCTACTCGACTCATCAGTAAGCACTTCATCAACAGCCTTCTTCCTCGACTCGCATCTACGAGTTGTGGATCTGCCTCTCGTTTACAGTTTACTCGATGCTGCGATCTCGACCTGCCAGCCAAATCTGCCAAGCTTATCATTCACGCTGGGCCGGGCTCTGTACTTCAAGAAGTAAGTGGTAAGACTGGTCCTTTTTCCGTAGGACAGCTCCAGTTTCACTAACCTTTGGGAGTACAAACATTGGAGTAACAAGATGTCTTCAGCTTGACTAAATTATGTAGATTAGGTTGTCTCAAAGAAATGAAAGTCTTTTTTGCAAACGCATACCATCTAATTTTGCTTGAACAATATCAAAACAATATTGTGATGAAGTTTTATGTACCTAGAACCAGGGTAACCCGTGCCGAGATACGTTTAGTCGAATCATATTACCAAATTTCCCCGAAATAATTGTAAAGTCTGGTTTTATTGATGCAAGTTGTCCAAGGGAGCATTTAAATCATGACCGCATAAAATGGGTACACCAATTTTTGTGGGAAAACTTTTTATTAGGCAACAAAGAATGAGAAAACGAGTTTTTTGGGATTAAATCGAAAGTGTCGGCAGGATCCAAAAAACTCTTCATATAGGATTTTTAGGTATTTATGAGGCCTATAGAATGAGACCACACGTAAAAAGGTCCGACTAATAATAAAGAAGTTATGGTAGAAAATCTAGGCACAATGCAGGTTTTGCTACTTGTTGCTAATGCGACGATAATTTCACGCATTTCTTTAAGTTCGTAGGCTTCATATTTCTAAGTAACCACAACAAAATATTAACCATAGCAACCACAATGCTGCTTGTTTCATCGTATTGTTATCTGCACATTGTGGAAGATATATCTTTTTAAAAATTATTTGCTATGATCCGACATAGTGTTTCTGAAATTTCATCTAAGTAATATAAAAAAAATATATAAACAATCATACGTATACCGCTGGTTTCCTGTTGGCAATCTTACATTCTCTATGGAGTGCGAAAAACTGTTCGATCGCAATTGAAGTACACATAATGTACAAAAAAGCATTTATTTCTCCAAATTTAAAAAAAAAATAGCAAGAAAGGAGCTTTGTGGATTTGAACCTCTGTAGAGCGGTTCAGCAGTCGCTGCTGTTTCCCATTCCGCTACGACGCCTCTTGGTTTACTGGATCTTTATACAACTTACAACTGTACTTGACACTGACAAATATCAAGCGAACATTGGTGACATCAAATATGTTATAAACAATTAGAATACTGTTGAAAACAATACAAGATACAATGCTGAAACTTTAAATAATGTATTAAAGACTAATACCGAGCATTCTGGCTAATTTTGAAGACGGTCAGTTCGCTACAGTTGGTTGATATTGGCTACTGTTTTTCAGTTTCCTCCAGTTTATTTTCCAATATTTTGAACTCGCAGTTGTTTTAATCGTACGAGATTTCGAAAACAGACGTATACAATATTAATACTCTTAGAAAAAAAAGTCCAGGGAATTATATTTCTTCGTAAAGAAATTAGATTACGTGACCTACTTATTTGACAAAGTCATGCAGTCATCAATAATGCAGCCATTTAGCACATTCTACATACTAACTAGTCTAAGACAGTTTGAAACATAATTGTGCCTTCAGTTTGCGTGTTAACTTTATAAACAGCTCAGCGCATTTTAGTATGAGATATCTTTTTTTATAAACTTTATGGCTCATCTGTGACCGTGTAAAAATATCAGCTCTAAATATAAGTAAGTAAATCTCTACAATACGCCCCGGCGGGCAATATGCCCCACAACGCCGTCGCTCAAACAGACAGAGATAGACAACAGGTTGTGACGTGCATGTAATGAAAACAGTACGTCTCCGACATGACTCCCGTAAGAATTTTTGTATTTAATTTTAAATTATAGTAAAATCCTGAGACATATTGCTGTGAGTACTGTACAAATTATAGAATATAGAGACCTATTTATATTTAGGAATATGGAAACAGTGATAGATAACCTACAATTTTCCCTGCTACACACAGTCATAAACCTTTGGTGGCGGCCATGTTTACCCTGGGACGTATTGTAATTAGAAATTTAAAAATGCTACGGCTGTCATAGTGTAATATGCCCCAGTTTTACAATAATATATTTTCTTTTATTGTTTTAGAGATGTCGCGAAATTATGTCAGAAAAACATTACGGGCGGCCTGGTCCGAAATTGATCTTAGTGAGGCTATGCAAAAAGTGCGACTGAAGCAAATGGGAGTAAATGAAGCGGCACGAACGTACAACATTCCTTCAAGAACGCTTAGACGACATCTTTTGTCTGGTAAATTAAAAATCCCACTTGGAAGACAACCTATTTTTACTGAAGAGGAAGAGAAGAAGTTGGTAGTGCACATTCAGAAATTATAAAAAGTTGGTTTTGCCCCCGATCGCAAAGACGTGAAAGAAATTACTTATTAGTTAGCTTCAAAGCTTGACAAGAAATATGTTTTCTCGCAAGCATTAGGAAAAGCTGGTGACGTATGGTTCGCTGGGTTTTTAAAAATAAATCCTGAGCTGAGTCAGAGAAAGTCTGAGGGCTTATCACTCGCCAGGGCATATGGGGTTTATCGAACGGATGTTCGTGATTTTTACACTTTACTGGCACACATTTATGCTGAAAAAGATCTCAGTTCACATCCAGGTAAAATATTTAATATGGACGAAACTGGCATACAGATCAATAATAAACCAGGAAAGGTAATTGCAACCAAAGGTTCGAAGGATGTGTACACCTTGACAAGAAGTGAAAAAGGAGAGAATGTCACGGTAATAGACATTTTGTAGCAGAACTGAGGCATTTGGTCAAGAAAAGTCAATACAAAACGCCGCACCTAAAGTTTAAAAAAAAATTACATTATGCTCCATCGTAAAGTATTCGATGGCAAATATAAGTGCCACAAGATCAATAGATCACCGCTCCTTTATTTATTCTGTAATAGTCCAGTAATAACTCTAACAACTAGGATTTACTGAACTCTTAAAAAAAGCGGGGCGGCGTATTGTAGAGGTTTACCCTACACAGGAGTACTCGTATGAAGAAACCTTCAAAAAAAAATTGTTTTCTTCGCAACAAAAGGTCATGAACTCATCTGCTTTGTTTTAAAGTGTGTATAATAACGTATGCTTTTTGAATATCGTAGCGAATCTGTTCAATTAGTCACAAATACGAAATGTTTCTGTTTAGAAGAATAAATGCAACCCGTCGTTTTTTTCATAAAAACAGCAATTATCTTTCGGAACGGTTTGTGATCTATGTCGGAAAGGTAAACTTGTCTATTTTGCTATAAAATGCCTTTTGAACGAACCCTGTATATTGCTCAGTAGACTAGTAGTGATTGCCGGAAGACAGGTGTTTTGGGACAAACAATTAGAAATTCTCAAAGACTACTTGACCGATCGACTCCATTTTTGTTAGGGTTACTTAGAAGTATGGAGCCTACAGATTTGGAGAATTGTAACTAGCTGCGTGAAATTATCGTCGCATTAGCAGCAAGTGCCACAGCCTCCATTTGGAGTCGGTTTTGGGCCATAACTTTTTTAGTCGAACCTTTTCACGTGTAGACTCATTCTGTAGGTCTCATAAATACCTAAAAATCTTATTTGAGGAGTTTTTTATTGTTCCTGCCAACATTTTCGATTTAACGGGACCTCGGTTGGCCGCGTGGGTCAGAGTGCCGTGCTACTGATCAGCCGGCCGGCCGGGCCGCGAGTTCGAATCTCGCCTTCGCCATGGATGTTGTGTGTTTGTTTTAGGCAGCAGCGGTGGCCGCAGTAGTAGACTCTTCGGTCTCCTGATCAGCCGCCGTGCGCTGTGCGGGTTCGAGTCCCGTCCCAGGAGAAATGTTTCTCTTGGCCATGGATGTTGTGATTGTCCGTAGGTGGTAGATGGTCTCTGACTGTCGAACGCGGAGGTACCACCCGGCGGTTCTCGTAGGCGGAGCCAGAATGTGTGCATGTTGCATGCACACGTGTTCCCTCGCCAGAGTCCGTGTGGCTTCCCCCCTTTCCCATGTATCCCCCATAGCCCCACGGTACCCAATGGGTGCTTAGGCCTTAGGCCTTCGTGGTAGTTGGAGTATAAAAAAAAAAATCCCAAAAAATACGTTTTCTCATTCTTTGTTGTCGAATAAAAAGTTATCCCGCAAAAATTGATGTGCCCATTTTATGCGTCCATGTTTTAAATACCCCGTTGAACAACTTGCATCAATAATAATAATAATAATAATAATAATATTTATTCACTCAACGTACAAAGATAACAAACAATATGAGTAAATAAATATAAAATCAAAACAGGCCCAGTAGAAGGCATCGCCTGTACATGGACCAATAATTTTAAGTTGCAACTGTAGAATGCAAATGACAAAAAAGGACAAAATTAGCTACAGTAGATTATGTATTTACTTGATGTTCGTTTTTATGAATTTATGAATTTCAGTCCTAGATATAGAATGTAGCCACTTTTTTAAATTTCTTTTGAAAAATTTCCGAAACGTAAATCTTTTAGGTCTTTAGGTATAATTTCATAAAATTTTGGCGCTAAATAGAGATATGACCGCTGCATTATAGATTTATGCGGCTGAGGAACTACTGTGCCACGAATTTTGTACCTTGTATAATGATTATGTTTAATTTTTTGGTCGGTGTTTACAAATTTATGGTAGTGAGTGATACTGTGTAAGAAATAAAGCTGTCTTATATCATACATTCGAACATCTGCGTATAATTTGTCAGTGGGATAAAGTTTCGGTTTTTTAAATATCATTTTTAGAATACTTTTTTGAAAAACATCTAAATTATATATATATATATATATGAGGAACATGCAGCTCCCCATGCTAATATACCATATGTGAGATAAGGCTCAATCAGTGCATGGTATAATGTTCGAAGATATTTTTCTGTCAATATATTCCCAAGGTATTTAATTTTGTAGGATACAAATCTAACTTTCTTTAAAATATAATTGACAAGGATGTCCCATCGTAAGTGAGGATCCAAGACCACTCCAAGGTATTTAATGTTGGGCACTCTAGTAATTTGCATTTTTTGATCATTAATGTTGAAGGAAAAATTTGTGTAATTTGGCAGATGTCTAGCATAAGATCCAA